CCGCCGGCCGGTGAGCGCGGCGGCAGCGGTGTGGGGGGGGGGCTCGGCTCGGTGGGGAGGTAGGAGAGGAAGGGGATGTCCATCTTCTCGCACTGCGTCGTGAAATCCCGGTACAGGGGGTCCGGGGAGCGTTTGGGGTAGAAGATGGTGGGCTCGTAGTCCTGTGCGGTGGAGAGCGGGGATGCGGCGTTGGAGGCCGCTCAGGGATGAAGAGGAAGAGGGGGAAGAGAAGAACGAGGAGGAAGAGGAGGGGAGGAAGATACCTACAAAGATCCGCAGGTGCCGGGCGCACACCAGCCCGATGGCCCCGTTCTGCGCCGGGCCGCACACCACCAGCACCGTGGGCTGCTTCCGCGGCAGGGACGGCAGTGGGAAGGCACGCCAGGAGATGGGGACGTCATGCCACCGCCGAGCCCCGTCCCCCCCCGGGTCGGCCCTGGGGATGGCACCCAGCACCAGAGACGTGGCAGGGACAGGGGGACCAGGGCTTGAGGTGGACCCGCGGTGGGGATGTGCTGCTGGGTGGGCAGCACAGTGCATGGGGGGCTGGGGATGATGCCCAAGGTGGGATGGGGACGGCACCCACGGCAGGATGGCGACGGCACCCATGGCAAGATGGGGCACGTGATGGGATGGGGACGATGCCCGCGGTGGGATGGGGATGGCATCCACAGCAGGACTTGGACGGCACCCAGGGCAGGACGGGGCCTGTAGTGGGATGAGGATGATGCCCACGGTGGGATGCCAACGGTGCCCACAGCGGGATGGGGATGATGCCCAAGGTGGGGCGAGGACGATGCCCAGGACAGGGACGATGCCCGTGGCAGGACGGGGCTCCCCGCCAGCCTGCAGGGAGGCGGCCGCGCGCTCCACATACCAGCAGCCTGCAAAGAGAGGCTCTGTTTACCCATTGACGGATTTTTTCCTGCTCACGGAGCCTGGCTCCTGGTCCCATCCAACCGCCAGAGACCCGAGCGGCACGGCCTGCTCGCAGCCACCGGGGCTCTGGACAAAGCCACGCTTGCCTGGCCCTGGCCCTGCCCCAGCGCCGGCCGCACTGCCAGCTGCCTTGTGGCACCCGGGGACGTGCCGGGAGGGGACGATGCTGGGGACCCTCGTCGGGTGGGGGGACACCCAAGCTGGGGTCCATGGATGCTCTCCCGGGCTCAGCCCCACGAGGAAGAGGAGGATGCTCAGCCCTGCTCTCCCCGGCTGGGGCTGGCGGTGGAGCTGGGGATGCTGCGATACGGGGGTCCCTGGCGGGGTGGGCAGCCCCACGCACGGGACCAGGACCAGCCCCGAGGCAGCACCAGGATCCAGAGAGACTCCAACACCCAAATATTTCCCCTCCTCAGGCAACTCCTCTGCCCTGAGAGGAGGGGAGGGCAGAAAACGGTCCAGACACCTCCAACGGAAAATCTGAGCCAGGCAGGCGCGGTGCTCACCGGCCTCCGAGGCACAAAGCTGCCCTTGATGCTGCACCTCCGCTTGCACACGCTGCCCGGAGCCCGGCTACTGCCTCCCCCTCTTCCTCCTCCTCACATCCAGCACGAGCACTCGGGGCTCTCAGCAACAGGAGAGCAGTGCCAGGGCATGGGGAGCCCTGGGGAGCCCCCCAGCACCTTCCTCCCCGCACACAGCGAGGGCAGCCGGCGCCTGGCCGTGCCGACACCCCAGGGAAAGGCTGAGCATCCCCCTCCCGTGGAGGGTGTAACCCACGGCCCCGGGGTGAGCCCAATTCACCCCAGGGGAAACAGAGAAGGGTGGCTGAGGAATGCAAAAAAAAACCCACCCAGGGAGAGGCGGCCAGAGCATCGGGCCCTGCCACGAGCT